CGGAGGCAGGAGACTCGCTTAAGCCCAGGAGTTGGAGGTTGCTATGAGCGTGATGCCATGGCACTCTACCCAGGGGGATAGCTTGAGGCTCCATCTCAAAAAAAAAAAAAAAAAGAAAGTCTGTTCTACTGATCATGCCATTTGGAGACAGTTACTTGGAATATTTAAGCAAACCATAAAGAAACTTCTTGGGCACACAGAAATTTGTGTGCAAACCTCTGCTCCCATGTAGGCCTTAAGTCAGGGGGCTTTTGCTGGAGACTTTTTTTTGCAGTTTTTGGCTGGGGCTGGGTTTGAACCCACCACCCCCGGCATATGGGGCCAGCACCCCGCTCCTTTGAGCCACAGGCGACACCCTTCCTGGAGCCTTTTATAAGGAATTCTCAGGCTGGACTTCTCAAAAGCCTTTCATGAGCCCAGGTTTCATCTGTGCCATTAGATACCTGTATGCATTGGGTAAATTCCTCTTCTCTTGAGGTCCCCTAGGACATTACCATTCCTGGACCTGTCAGCAAGCGACTTTCGTCACTTACCACAGATCAGGAAAGGTTATTGATGGGTATCTGGCCAGTTTTCCAAAGGGCTTTTTCATTTGCCTTATAAAGTCAACCTTAATTCCTTAATGCAGTCTGGAAATGCTATTCCAGCCAAAGCCTTGGTCATGTTAGGCCTGCAACCAACCTGGCCACATGGGATTCTGCCTCAGTTTCTTACAAGTATGCCTGCACAAAGTCTTTTCACTATTCTCTCTCAAACGGCTTTTTTGGACAGAGGCATATAGGCATTTTGCCTATAAAGACATATTTCCCATAGATAGCAAATGTGCCTCCACTGTTGCAGCAAAGAAAAGGCAAAGGCTATGGCCCTAGGTTTCCTTTTATACCATCTGGGTCAGTACTACCTCATGGTTCAGAGGTCATCTGAAACCTGAGTCTTACTGGACCTTCTTTGAGCTGGAAAGCTCCCCAGGAGTGTGGACCACAATGTAGATTTAACCTAATGACATAATTCGTTCTAATTTTAGGTCACCTTCAAGACTCTATTGTATAACTGTTGTTAGGCCAGAGAGTCTTCTACTTCCTTTTTGCAGCTGCATGCTAAATTCTGATCGGTAGATTAGTAGGCTAGTCCCTCTTCCCCAGGTGTGAGCAATCAACTGGTACAAAATTAAGATGGGAGGCACCAAGATGAAGGCCTGGGGGCCCCGCAGTTGTCCTTCCTCAAGAGAGCAGGATTCCTAACTACATAACATTAGTACCTTAAAGGGTAGTTGAAATGTCGAATATGAATTCTTATCAGTGAGTTTTTTATATTCTGTGGTATGAAAATTCATTGGTCTAACTTTTACTTTGAATGAAAATATTGTTTTATTGAATTATGGAAATATTCCGTGTGCTGACACATTTTATCATACACAAGTCATTTGTTACTAAAATTTTCTCTGTATAAAAGAACTAAGAAGCTATGAAGCAATGAAGTTCACAGTGGCACACAGAAGTTTTCTGAATCTCTTTGTTTTTATTTGAAAGTTTTGAATTTTATCATTGACATCAGTTGTTTTCCTTGAAGAAACTTTGTTCATTTTTACTCATTTTCAGGAAAATGTCAGTCAAATATACATGTGAATTATCTGAAATCTGAATTACCATAGTTTGTCAGTAGTTCATGCAAAAAATGCTATTTAAAATTAGCTAGTTACAAATACATGTACTTGAGAAAACTTTTATTGGAGGAATGTAAGCCCCTTTAAATGATCAGGTCCAGAGAGGCACTGGAATGAAACTGCAAGTCATGTCTCACTCCCTCCTTGAGTGAAATAATTATTCCTGAAGCTACTTACTATGTGGCTCCAGACTAACTGATGCCAAGTGGCCATAAAATGCAATACACTGGATATCATAACTCATACCCCATGGTCCAACAGTGTATAATCAGTAATTAATGTAAACAAATGAGAATTCCTGACAACTTTTATAATCACTCTCTCTCTTGATTTTTCTTTCTTTTAAAACTTGAGCCTTTCCTTTGCTTTCCAGAGAACTCCCTTGGAAGTGTGTCCCCTAGCAGTTGTTCTTAACCAGGACCCAAATAAACTCTATACCTTTATTAATTTTGCCTCAGCTTCTTTTGTTTGACATACTCAATGGTTAAAATTTAATGAAACTAATATTCACAATGTCAATAAGATTCTTAAATGAAATAAGCCTTTTAAAAAATTTTCTCCTGCAAGCGTGTAGCAATAGTTTGATGCATTGCCTCTGATTTGTGCTATGGCCCCAGAATTTTTTTTACAATTGATTTCACAACATCAGTACATATTCCAGTGATGGCAGCCACTGTTATTCTAAATAACCGTTACATACAGGACACTACTGGAAAGGCCCTGGTGGGGCCAGATGAGCCCTTGTGCTACCATGTGGAGTTTTTTGTTCAAGTACAAGGCCTTCTGTTATAAAGAGACTATTATTAAGAGACTGGATGCTCTAGGGACCAAGATGCCAGGGCAGCCTCCCAGGAGGCTAGAAGGCTAAGGACAGGACCTTGTGGCGACAACTCACAAACCTCTTGTGTTCTGGGAAGGTCACAGGATGTTCTGCCAAGACTTAGATAGATCGGTTACAGGGTACCCAGCCTAGGTGGCCTTGGGTGGCAACAATATAGCCTGGCCTTATGATAGCTCCAATACTGATACCTGTGGCCCCTTCTGTCCTTACCCCAACTTCAGAACCAGAGTCCCGACTTAACTATAGAGTAGACATGCTTTGAAGTAATAATCACTAAGATATGAGGATATTTTGTAACCTTGTAACTTATGAGGAGAAATCTGTGTAATGTACACTATGATGATTATAGTAACATTTTTGATGCTTGCTCTTACTGTGAGAGTATAAAAATAACAAAGGAAAACAAGAGCAGGGAACAGCTCTTTAAGACATCCTCGCCATTCTCCAGAATTGCTGGCTTTTCTGTACATAACAGTGGAATTGTTCATCTCTCATCCACTTCTCAGTTGATTGGCTTGGGTGACAGACTCACTGGCCTGGCAACACCAGCACTGAAAACAGCAAACAACAGTATGTCACAAAGACCTTTGAATCTGTCACTCTCCAAAGGGTCTTGGGGCCCACTGGAGGGCCAGGGACCATACTTTGATAATTGCTGTGACAGGAATTAAGATAAACTCAGAACATACAGACATGATTCCAGTTCCAAAGTTTATCTTCTGATACAGCACTGGTTCTCAACCTGTGGGTTATGACCCCTTTGGGGGTCGAATGACCCTTTCACAGGGGTCACCTAAGACCATTCTGCATATCAGATATTTACATTATGATTCATAACAGTAGCAAAATTACAGTTATGAAGTAGCAATGAAAATAATTTTATGGTTGGGGGTCACCACAACCTGAGGATCTGTATCGAAGGGTCCTGGCATTAGGAAGGTTGAGAACCACTGCCATGAGGAAACCTATGGAGATGATTACAGAATCATGGATTAATTAGTGATCCAAGAAGTGGCGTTGATGTCTTAATACCCAGAGAGATTAATGACAAAACTTGGAAGCAGGATCAGGTATGACAGTGTTGCAGCAATGCAGACATGAGATAATGAGGGCCCTACCTAAGGCAGTGGCGCCGAGGAAAGTGCAATTTTTAAAGTGGCGGAATGGTAGGACTTAGCTGCGAAGCGTGAAGGATGAGGGTAACAGGGCACAGCGATGCCCTTTTCACACTGGCATTACAGGAGGGGCAGGTTGGCAGAGGTACAGGGGAGGTAATGTTGGTAGCTAGGAATTTACTGACTGAGCTGAAAGTTGAATTGCTCGGTGGAGTGTCTAGCTGGCAATCAGATATTCCTACTCATTTGCTGCTTAACATAAAACCTGAAATAAAAGAATCAGGTTAGGAGCTCCTGTTAGTGAATTGGAAAGAGTTAAATTTGGTGGTTCTTTTAAGGGAGGGTTTTTTTTTTTTTTTTTAGAGACAGAGTTTCACTTTATCGCCCTTGCCCTTGGTAGAGTGCGGTGGCCTCACAGCTCACAGCAACCTCCAACTCCTGGGCTTGGCGATTCTCTTGCCTCTGCCTCCCGAGTAGCTGGGACTACAGGTGCTGCCACAACGCTCGGCCGTGGCTGGGTTTGAATCGGCCACCCTCGGTATGTGGGGCCGGCGCCCTACCCACCGTGCCACACCTTTGAAGCGGGGGTGGGGTGGGGTGGGAGTGGTGGTGGTAAATGAGATCAGGTTGACTGTGGCTGTTAAGACTGTTAACTCCGCTTCGAAATCTTTCTGGACACTGAACTCTCAGAATAAGCGGTGTTCCTGGGGACTGTTGCTCCAAATAGCTCGGATGTCACATAAAGTATACCTTTATTTTGGGAGAACTGTTTCCGTCTAACTCAGCACACCCGACAACCATTTGTTAACGTCCCGGCGGCACACTGATGCCGGTTCACTGGCTTTAGTTAGGGTGGGACAGGACTGGCCGCCTCGTCCCACCCTTCGTGGACAGTCCGCGTTTTCCCGACCTTAATTTTTACCTCCTAAGAAGTATTCACGAGCGTAGCTCGGAGTCCCCAGGGCCGGGCCCCAGGGCAGCGTCGTGGGCAGGTATTCCGCGAGCCAGGCCGGGGGCGGTGCTGGCGCCACCGCCGTGCTGACGCCACATAGGCTGAGATCACCTCAGGAGCGCGCGGTGCAATCACAGAGCGCGGCGCCACCAAGCGGACCCCCTTCAGCCCGCCCCCCGGATCCTTCCGCCGGGTCCCTCCGCCGCCGGCCCCTCTAGTGCTGTGCCCTGACGCCCTGCCAGTCTCAGGGTGTGGCCACCTCGTAAGCCATGTTCCCCTCCGGCTCGCTACCACTTGTGCCACAGGAGCAGCCAACCTCCTCGGGCCCACTCTCTGGCGCAGGGAGACGTCGGAGTGCCCTGTTATTGAGGGGGCGTGAGAAGTGCTATTTAAAGGGCGTGGCCAGCGGCCGTCCGGGCCGGCCCTGTGACGCGCAAGGTGGCGCGTGCGAGAGCCGGGGGTAGGGGCGGGTGACTAGGTTTAGTAGGGGACCTGGGGCCCGGGGCCGCCTTTGGACGCTCATCTGCCAGCTTCTTTCTCTCCGCGATTTGGAGGAGCTGTGGCGACCTCCACCTCCAGTGTCTCCAGCAGAGTGAAGCAGCAGTAGCGGCCGGGATGGTGCTGCTGGGCTTACTGCAGGCGGGAGGGTCGGTGCTGGGACAAGCGATGGAGAAGGTGACAGGTGGGAACCTTCTGTCCATGCTGCTGCTCGCCTGCGTCTTCACCCTCAGCCTGGTCTACTTGCTCCGCCTCGCCGTCGGCCACCTAGTCCAGCTGCCGGCTGGCGCGGTGAGTGCATCCCGGGAGCCCGGCTGCGGCCGCGGGAGGGCTGGCGGGGGCTATACTGCTGGGCTGGCTTGGTCCGTGGCGGAGCTGTCTGGGCCTGGGGCGGGGGCGGCAGCGCTCACGGTCGTGGCATTGGTGGCTGCAGCCGCGGCGCTGCTCGGCGGGGCGGTGATGCCAGCACATTGGGACCGGGAGTAGTGTGACTTTGCTGGTCTCGGTGCTGGCGACCTTGCTGTCTGCCTTGGCGGTGTGTCTGTCCTCGACAGGGGTCGTATTTGGCGTCGTTTGTGGTCATAGTAATGGCTGTGTTGGTGGCGATGGCCGGACGGCGGCTGTGGCTTTTGCTGCGACCCTGAGCCCTTGCTGGCCGCGGTCATGGCGTGGGAGTCCCCGATGGGGCGTGATGGCGATGTTATTGGCAGCCCTGGCCCGTGGCGGTCATCCTGGAGGCTGTGGCATTGCCCATAAAGGCGATTTCTAAGGGGGATGCGTTCCACTTGGTGGAGTGGGAGCGACTGGAGTGTGGTAAGGGACTTCCTCTGGTGCTGTTAAAATACCAGTTTCTCTAATTCAGCCCCTTTAATCATCACTAGTTTGACGCCTCCCAAATACATTGGATGAATGCAGCCTTATCAGTGAACAAAAAGTAGCTTTTGAAAACTACCCTTTACTGACAATGGAATGTGGACACCAGTGATCCAGTAGTTTTTAAAATAGATTTTATTTGAACCATACCAGGTGTGAGGTTTCTTTTCTTTTTGAGACAGAGCCTCAAGCTCTGGGTAGAGTGCGTGGCGTCAGGAGACTTAGTGCTATGATCTGCAGATCTCATTTTGTGGCATCTAAAGTACCCTTTATGATGAGTGCTAGAGAGTTCCTGCTAAAGCTGGTGTACTCTCTCTTTAAAAATCAGCAGGTTAGTCACTTGCAGTTAGAGGAGTATGAGATGTATTCTGTTTACTCATAAATGTCGCTGCTTAACTATTTTCCTTCTTTCTGTACCTCAAGTTGTTATTTTTATTTGTCTTTTTCCATACCTTCTTTAGGCAAGATTCTGGGACTAAGTGGTGAAAACGATGCAGTGGGTTCGTAGAACCTGAGCCGTAGGTTCTTCATTCACCAACTTAACCTGTGATCAAAAATATTCAGGAAAAAGCCCAATAAAAAAATACAAATAAAAATACAGCAAAACTCTTTTCATAGCATTTACATTGTATTAGGTATTATAAGTAATCTAGAGATGATTTAAAGTATGGGAGAATGTGCAAATACTGTGCCCAGATAAGAGACCTGAGCATACCTGGATTTTGGTATTTGTGGAGAGATCCTGGAACAAATCCCCCCTGTGTACTAAGGAATGAATGTAGTTTGACCTTTTTGTTTTTGCATCATTAGTGGTTAGAGAAGTTGCCTGGAGACACCAGTAGGAGATATGCTGGACAGTGCCCATCATTTAAAATTGCAGTGCCTTTGTGTTTGTAGTCATTCATCTCACACTGTGTTTTGAGTTTCTGTTCTTTTTACAATAGTTATTCTCCTCAGATATTTGCACGTTGACTGTTATTAAGTTACTTTTGATGCTTTATTTTTTTGGTAACTTTTTTTTAGTGTTAATGGCAAATTTTATTTTCTTGTTTGGTCATGAAACTAAACTGGGTTTGGGTTTCTCTCTTAAAATGAGAACTGAATTTATTTCTTTTTCTTGTAGAAAAGTCCACCGTACATTTTCTCTCCAATTCCATTCCTTGGGCATGCCATAGCATTTGGGAGAAGTCCAATTGAGTTTCTGGAAAATGCATATGAGAAGGTAAGATTTCCAAATAATAAGAGGCACAAAGAAGCTAGTTTAGATAAGTGCCTAGAGGTACCTGCTGTGTCCTAGGGGAGTCTTTGAGGCACCCCTTGAGAAACCTGTGGTCTTGGCAACTGTGGTTTAAAAACCACTGTTCTGAATTTTGTATTCACTGATTATTGTTAAATTTGATGCTAATTGACCTTCATTTTTCTTAACCTTGCATCTCTGGCATTTTTGAACCTGCTTTTCAGTGAGTTCACTGTTCCCTGTCTAGCTCCTCTACCTGTTAACTATGTGACTTTGCTTCTGTAGTTAGAGAACTTTACCTCTCTGTGCTTTAGTTTCCCTCGTTTATAAAATGTAATACTACTAATACTAGTACCTACTTCACAGTCATCTGCTGTTAAGATTATAACACACACACAGATACACATAGAGTAGAGAAAGTGCCTTAAGAACGTGGTAACTATTATTATTACTACCTCAGTTTTGTAGCCTATAGAATGAATAAATCTAAAAAGGTTCTTGTGGAGCTTCAATGAGGTAATCTTCATAAAGTGCTAAGTACTGGCACACAGTAGGTCTTTTATAATTATTACTGTGAGTGGGAAGAAAAAAAAGAATAGGATTATATAAATATGAGTAGGGCTGTATGCTTGAAATTGAGAACATGAAGGACTTCCTAAGAGATAGTTTTTAATCCCTCTTTAAATAGGAGACAAAGTCATTTGCTTTGATGGAGAAGTAAAAAGATTCAGAAGTTTCCAAAAGTGAAGGTTGGAATTAGTCATTGTGAATAGAAAAGTAAGCCCATCTCAGGAACACAGCAGGATTGTCGAGCAGTATTAAAACTGTTCCAACATAGGCAATTATAAAAGTAGTAAAAAACTAATATGGTGCTTGGAAGGAGAAAATAACTGGTATCTTTCAAGGTTGAAGCTTTTTTGTTTGAGAACACTGAAAAGATCCAAGGATAGGGAAATTTAAGGTACACTATTTTGGCAAGAGTGTAACTGAAATGATGGACCAGGAACTGATGTGAAAAAAGAAGGAAAGTAAAGAAAGGAGGCTAATAGATCAGAAGAAAGGAAATGTGACACGGACTGGAAGATCTAATGAGAGAAAGGAATGATTATAATTGAAGAAGTAGCTCAAGCAAACCAAAGGAGGGCATGGTCTGAGAATAGGGTATCTGTTGATCACAATTAGAGGTAGAACAACAGTGACAGCAAGTCCAAAGTGAGTCTGAGAAGTAAATGGCTGAATTGGTGGTATAGGAAAACTCATTACAGAGGTAAGGGGCAAAATTTGAGAAGCCATGTTGTATGGGTCACCCACGTGTAATACTCAGTTTATACTGATAACCTTTGTTATCTTGTGTATTATATCTTGTTATTATAATTTTAGAAGTCAAACATGACTTAAGTTTTGCAATTTTAGTACAGGTTTTTCTGTTTTAAAATAT